TTTTTCTAGATTGAGAAGCAGTTCGAGCTATACTTTGACTGAGATCTCAACATTTCAATAATACCATGTTTGGTGCTTAATACGAGCGGAGCTAAAAACTTTCAATTGTGCCGTAAAATTAAGAGTCAAGGCAGCTCTTTCACACTATTTTAAAGCTTTTTTTCTAGATTTAGAAGCAGTTCGAGCTATACTTTGACTGAGATCTCAACATTTCAATAATACCATGTTTGGTGCTAAATACGAGCGGAGCTAAAAACTTTCAATTGTGCCGTAAAATTAAGAGTCAAGGCTGCTCTTTCACACTATTTTAAAGCTTTTTTTCTAGATTTAGAAGCAGTTCGAGCTATATTTTGACTGAGATCTCAACATTTCAATAATACCATGTTTGGTGCTAAATACGAGCGGAGCACAAACTTGGCTCTTGTGCCGTAAAATTAAGAGTTAAGGCTGCTTTTTCACACTATTTTAAAGCTTTTTTTCTAGATTTAGAAGCAGTTCGAGCTATACTTTGACTGAGATCTCAACATTTCAATAATACCATGTTTGGTGCTAAATACGAGCGGAGCTAAAAACTTTCAATTGTGCCGTAAAATTAAGAGTCAAGGCTGCTCTTTCACACTATTTTAAAGCTTTTTTTCTAGATTTAGAATTAGTTCGAGCTATATTTTGATTGAGACCTCAACATTTCAATAATACCATGTTTAGTGCTTAATACGAGCGGAGCAAAAAACTTTCAATTGTGCCGTCAAATTAAGAGTCAAGGCTGTTCTTTCACACCATTTTAAAGCTTTTTTTCTAGATTGAGAAGCAGTTCGAGCTATACTTTGACTGAGATCCTAACATTTCAATAATACCATGTTTGGTGCTTAATACGAGCGGAGCACAAACTCGGCTCTTGTGCCGTAAAATTAAGAGTTAAGGCTGCTTTTTCACACTATTTTAAAGCTTTTTTTCTAGATTGAGAAGCAGTTCGAGCTATACTTTGACTGAGATCCTAACATTTCAATAATACCATGTTTGGTGCTTAATACGAGCGGAGCTAAAAACTTTCAATTGTGCCGTAAAATTAAGAGTCAAGGCAGCTCTTTCACACTATTTTAAAGCTTTTTTTCTAGATTTAGAATTAGTTCGAGCTATATTTTGATTGAGACCTCAACATTTCAATAATACCATGTTTGGTGCTAAATACGAGCGGAGCACAAACTCGGCTCTTGTGCCGTAAAATTAAGAGTTAAGGCTGCTTTTTCACACTATTTTAAAGCTTTTTTTCTAGATTGAGAAGCAGTTCGAGCTATACTTTGACTGAGATCTCAACATTTCAATAATACCATGTTTGGTGCTTAATACGAGCGGAGCTAAAAACTTTCAATTGTGCCGTAAAATTAAGAGTCAAGGCAGCTCTTTCACACTATTTTAAAGCTTTTTTTCTAGATTTAGAAGCAGTTCGAGCTATACTTTGACTGAGATCTCAACATTTCAATAATACCATGTTTGGTGCTAAATACGAGCGGAGCTAAAAACTTTCAATTGTGCCGTAAAATTAAGAGTCAAGGCTGCTCTTTCACACTATTTTAAAGCTTTTTTTCTAGATTTAGAAGCAGTTCGAGCTATATTTTGACTGAGATCTCAACATTTCAATAATACCATGTTTGGTGCTAAATACGAGCGGAGCACAAACTTGGCTCTTGTGCCGTAAAATTAAGAGTTAAGGCTGCTTTTTCACACTATTTTAAAGCTTTTTTTCTAGATTTAGAAGCAGTTCGAGCTATACTTTGACTGAGATCTCAACATTTCAATAATACCATGTTTGGTGCTAAATACGAGCGGAGCTAAAAACTTTCAATTGTGCCGTAAAATTAAGAGTCAAGGCTGCTCTTTCACACTATTTTAAAGCTTTTTTTCTAGATTTAGAATTAGTTCGAGCTATATTTTGATTGAGACCTCAACATTTCAATAATACCATGTTTAGTGCTTAATACGAGCGGAGCAAAAAACTTTGAATTGTGCCGTCAAATTAAGAGTCAAGGCTGTTCTTTCACACCATTTTAAAGCTTTTTTTCTAGATTGAGAAGCAGTTCGAGCTATACTTTGACTGAGATCCTAACATTTCAATAATACCATGTTTGGTGCTTAATACGAGCGGAGCTAAAAACTTTCAATTGTGCCGTAAAATTAAGAGTCAAGGCAGCTCTTTCACACTATTTTAAAGCTTTTTTTCTAGATTTAGAAGCAGTTCGAGCTATACTTTGACTGAGATCTCAACATTTCAATAATACCATGTTTGGTGCTAAATACGAGCGGAGCTAAAAACTTTCAATTGTGCCGTAAAATTAAGAGTCAAGGCTGCTCTTTCACACTATTTTAAAGCTTTTTTTCTAGATTTAGAAGCAGTTCGAGCTATACTTTGACTGAGATCTCATCATTTCAATAATACCATGTTTGGTGCTTAATACGAGCGGAGCTAAAAACTTTCAATTGTGCCGTAAAATTAAGAGTCAAGGCTGCTCTTTCACACTATTTTAAAGCTTTTTTTCTAGATTGAGAAGCAGTTCGAGCTATACTTTGACTGAGATCTCAACATTTCAATAATACCATGTTTGGTGCTAAATACGAGCGGAGCACAAACTCGGCTATTGTGCCGTAAAATTAAGAGTCAAGGCTGCTCTTTCACACTATTTTAAAGCTTTTTTTCTAGATTTAGAAGCAGTTCGAGCTATACTTTGACTGAGATCTCAACATTTCAATAATACCATGTTTGGTGCTAAATACGAGCGGAGCTAAAAACTTTCAATTGTGCCGTAAAATTAAGAGTCAAGGCTGCTCTTTCACACTATTTTAAAGCTTTTTTTCTAGATTTAGAAGCAGTTCGAGCTATACTTTGACTGAGATCTCAACATTTCAATAATACCATGTTACCATGTTTGGTGCTAAATACGAGTGGAGCACAAACTCGGCAATTGTGCCGTAAAATTAAGAGTCAAGGCTGTTCTTTCACACTATTTTAAAGCTTTTTCTCTAGATTTAGAAGCAGTTCGAGCTATACTTTGACTGAGATCTCAACATTTCAATAATACCATGTTTGGTGCTTAATACGAGCGGAGCTAAAAACTTTTAATTGTGCCGTAAAATTAAGAGTCAAGGCTGCTCTTTCACACTATTTTAAAGCTTTTTTTCTATATTTAGAAGCAGTTCGAGCTATACTTTGACTGAGATCTCAACATTTCAATAATACCATGTTTGGTGCTTAATACGAGCGGAGCTAAAAACTTTTAATTGTGCCGTAAAATTAAGAGTCAAGGCTGCTCTTTCACACTATTTTAAAGCTTTTTTTCTAGATTTAGAAGCAGTTCGAGCTATACGATGACTGAGATCTCAACATTTCAATAATACCATGTTTGGTGCTTAATACGAGCGGAGCTAAAAACTTTCAATTGTGCCGTAAAATTAAGAGTCAAGGCTGCTCTTTCACACTATTTGAAAGCTTTTTTTCTAGATTTAGAAGCAGTTCGAGCTATACTTTGACTGAGATCTCAACATTTCAATAATACCATGTTTGGTGCTAAATACGAGTGGAGCACAAACTTGGCTCTTGTGCCGTAAAATTAAGGCAGCTCTTTCACACTATTTGAAAGCTTTTTTTCTAGATTTAGAAGCGGTACGAGCTATACTTTGACTGAGACCTCAACATTTCAATAATACCATGTTTGGTGCTAAATACGAGTGGAGCACAAACTCGGCAATTGTGCCGTAAAATTAAGAGTTAAGGCTGTTCTTTTTCACTATTTTAAAGCTTTTTTCTAGATTTTGAGGCAGTACGAGCTATACTTTGACTGAGATCTCAATATTTCTATACTTGCTGGGGTGTGGTGTAAAGAAAGATGTTTCAAAAAGTTAGCTAGAAATGATTCAAATGTTCTGTAAAAGATTTTTAGATGTTTGCTAATAAACATTTTTTTCTGTCACGACTTAGTCGCAAGGGTGTGCCAGGGTTCCAGCCTCCAGGCGTGAGGGGTAGAAAAAAATTTGTCAAATAATATAGCTAGAAATGATCGAAATAATCTGTCCGAGATTTTTAGATGGTTGCCAAAAACCATTTTTTTTTCTCACTTGAAGCTCAAATTTTAAAAAACAGACTATTCAGCTTTTTTAATCGGTTTTAGTCTGTTTTTAGTCGAAATAGTCGATTTTTGTCCATTTAGTCGATTTTAGTCGATTTTGACCCTTGCTTAATCGACTCGAAATTGCATGATTTGTGCTCATTTCATAACCCTAACATCCTGCGAAGATCAGAAAAAAATAGTTGATCGACTAAAACGATCAGCCCTAACGATTATTTTCTTTTGCAAAATTAAAACGGAAACTGGAATGCACTCACACTAACAATTATAATAACTCAATGAAAGAGTTATTTTATTGATTAATTTATTTTTTAATTAGATATATTTTTTCTTAATTCAAATATAATTGCAATAATTAAGCTTTAAATCAAGAAAATTTTTATAGGATACTCCAGCAAATTTTCATTTAATATGAATAAATTTTAAAAACTTGTTTTACAATAAGAATCATTTTAAAAATTAATAAAATTGCAAAAAAAAATCCACTAGAACTTATCCTTTTATTGTATATTTTCATACATCTCTAGTGATATATTTCGGAGAACAAAGCCAAATTGAAATGAAAATTTAAAAGCAGCCTTTTGCGCTGCACCCTTGGGGTGGTTGAGCAAAGCCGCGGTCGGAAAGAAGCCTCATTTGCATCCGCATTGTGTGGCTCGCGCGCGCATATTATTCGTCAATTAGCATCAAATGTACGAGAAACTGCTGCGGCGCAATGTAGGCTAATCAAATTATTATCAAAGGGAGGGAGAAAGAGCGAGTGCCGTGGTAAGCAGCAGAAGCTTCTGTGCATGTAAATTCCTGTGCAATGATCCGTCCATTGTGTGTCAGTCGGACCAAGTTTGCTTCATGCATTTTAATTCGCCGCCGCGTCTGTTGCAGGCTTTCGAGGAGTTGGAGGACTTGCTGGCCAAGAAGGATATTTGCATCGCAATAAAGGAGAAGTTGGTCAAAGACTCGGGGGTGGCCGGCGAACGTGCCTACGACTCCATCGTGCAAAAGCTGCTCACAAAACCGCGCGCCAGAGGTAAGAACCAACAATTATTTATAGCTCGCTTAATCCGCAGATGAAAAATTCAACAAACGGGCGATTTGGTGAGCACGGTTGGGCGGGGATTAAAATTTCCAGAGTCGCGACTGGTAATTGAAAATGACTGCAAAAGTGCGTGTAGAGTTTATTTTTGCCCGCATAAATTATTTTCTTTGATAATCACAATTTATTGTTCCGAGTTACAAACTTTAATCTCTTCTGCAGCCAGAATAATAGATAAACCTTTGAACTTTATACTATATATTCAACGTTTTCTCTCATAAAAAACTTTGCTTACTTAAAAAAAAACTATTATTTCCAGCATTTTATTCTGCATTTGATTGACTTTAAAAGAATTATTGTTTTTAAAAGACATCAAATTTTACAACAGCTAATTAATTTTGTAATAAATTGATCTTTTTTTTTATCAATATTAAAAGAAAGTTGCACGATGAAAAAAATTGAAGGAAACGACTCAGAAACTTCGCGGCGCGAGCCCAGCAGGAGCTTTTAGTTTTGAGCTTCGAGTTAATAAAAAGCAACAGCCCGAAAAGCGGATGCTGGTGAGGCGAAGCGTCCCTAGTGGATTTTTGAAACCGCGCGCAAAAAGCCTAAAGACTCCCATAAAAGTCTCTTTGCTCGTAAACGACGAGCAACGAGCAATTCGGCCAAGAAAGAGAGCGCTGGGAGTACTAATACTGAACGCCGTGAACTAATTGGAACTTAAAGCTGTAATGGGGGCCAAATTAAACCTTCAAAGTTTCGAATTTCGCTCTTCCATTCAATTACTTGGCTAGACTTTTGGATTGCAAAGTGCTGGAGTAAACAATGTAGGTTTTTTCATTTTAACAATTTAAATAATATTTTGAATTTTATTTGTTTCATGGAAATGTAAAAACAAGTCTCATTATATTTAACTATTTGTATTATCTAAAGATGTATAAAATTACAAGCAATTCCTTTGCCAATAAAAACAGATAAATCGATTATAGCTTTAAAATCTCAATTATGTTATGTCTTTCAAATAACTTTACATGTTACAAGACAGGTTTTTATCAAAGATTCCATCCTGTTGCTAAATAATAACTTGTATTTTTTTTTTTATCAAAATCGTAAAAATATGTAATTTTAGAATAAATGAAAAAACTAATATAATATTGAAGAAAATTCAGTATAAAATAAAATTTGACGTAAATAAAAGAATTCATATTATAATCAAATCACTTTTTGTATGGTATTCAAATAATTTAATGCCATAGGAAATATCATTATGTGGTAAAAATGTATTTTGCTTCTTTTTGTAACATAAATTTGATTCTGCCTTTTCGTTTTCGATTCTGAACACATTTTCCAACGTAACAGGATATTTGAGACGCGTCTGATGTCATAACCTTCTTTCAGTAACTCGAGTCTAGCTGGAAAATCCAATCGAAATCCGCGTGGCTCACACAAAACTGCACTGTCGAACTCTCGGCAGATGCTTTCCTCGTCGTTATTCTCCGCAGACGCTCTAATTAGAATTATGCAAATGCCCAGGTCTTGCTCGCAAGCCTCTCGGCGGCTGATTATCGAACTAATTAGCTGCAGCGCCATATTTATGTAAAATTCGATTTACTCGCGCTAATCCTTTGATGATAAATTAATTAATCACATCCCCGGGCGCATATTATGGAGGCTTAATCGTGTAAATCTGAGATTGCGTGTGCTCCGCTTGCGATTGATGATCCAATCAACATTACCCCAGACGTGTATTTGTGTCTCGTACACGTGCACTTAGTGCTTGATGGCTTTAGTTCATCAATGTCCCCCTTAATTAATGAGATCCTGCATTACAAAATTTATATTGATTTTTAATTTTTTTCGTTCCTTGCATTTTGAGAAAGATCGTAAACCAAATAAAATTTCCATTGTAACTAAAGCAACATTATTTCATTTTTAATAAATTTAATTTTTTATTTCGCCATTTCAATTGAAATTTTATGGTGTCAGTTGGCCAAAAGGAAACAATGGATTTTGAGCAAAATAAATTTTCAGTCCCAGCTTTCAGAACATAAATAATCAAAGCTCTTATAACAAAATATCCAACGCGTGTAATGATTTCGACTGGTATACAAAATCATTTTGAAATATCCAGGCCTAAAAAAAGCCGCAAACCTGGCAAATCCGCAGGGAACGATGGAATTAATATTCGCAACACTGGTTCAAAAATTTCCCAGAGGACGAAAAGCCTCTCTCGCTGCTGTTTGCAGCATGAATTTTGGTCTAATGAGACTGCCACATTTTCCGACCCACTGACAAAAAGAGTGACCCACGTTTCAAAGCCATTTATCATTTTCCCAGGCTTTGATGTACAAAAAAATCCGCCGCGAGTGTTTTGTGCTCAAAATTTAAGAGGTCCCTAAAGACTGTTCACTTTGTCGGGGGAGGTCGAATCTGAAAAAAGGGCTTTGTACGAGGAACTGGTGATTGCATGTTGTTTATGCTCTGGGGATTTCAGTTCTTTACGCAGCACTCGTGGCAGAATCCACTCTGTGGCTTTCGCAAATTAGCAAACGTTGCTAAAACTAGTTTGTCTAGTTAGCGGCGGCAAAGTGCGCCTCACTCATTGTTTGCGTTTGCCAGCTCTAATTGCGCGACTGCGATTTTCCAAGCCAGATATAAACAGTGATGATGATGAAGGCCAGAATATTCAGTTTTTGTTTCCAAATGAAAATGTGGCTTGAATTGTGTGTTTTTTTAAACGTGACCTTCATTTTGAATAATGAGAAACGTTAATGGCTTTTTTGTGCTATATTTCAGTGAAAAAGCTTGCAAGCTTTTGTTCGATTCTTTATATCAAAGTATTCATAGTTGGCCGTGAAGCAAAATTTTCAGATTTTTAATGATTGTTAAACATTTGAAAATCCTTTGTTTAAGCGAGCTATTCCCATTTCGAAATTGTTCAAAAAGCCCGACATAAGGGAAATGTCCAAAGTTTCGACCTGAATTTTTTAATATGAACTTTGAAGGCTTCTGTTTTCAATTAAACTTTTCATTTAGTTCATCCCTTTTTTAGATTTATAGAGAAAATTAACAGATCGATGCAAAGCGGAAAGTCAACGTTGCACAAGCTCGGCTGCAAATCATTCCTGACGCAATCGAGCCGGTGTTGAGTTCCGAGAGCTGCAAGAGTGGTTGGTGGCGTGCGTGCTCGCCATTTATCTAGCGGGACGATCATCTGGCTGGGATTTGAGCTCAACTGCTCTTCATTTAGTTGTCGCCGGGGTGTCAGGTGCTGATACATTTGCAGTCGCCGATAACAAATGCCCGCGCAATGAGAACCGCCGTTCCAGCCAGAGCAATCAATTTCTTCAATCTATCCTCCGCCCCTAATTCAATATATTATCTCCAACTGCTGCGCATCATGTGCTCCTTTTGCAGACTTCCCCGCAGCCATAATTATATTTGACTCCAATTCTCTCTGTCTTCGCCTGCCCGCCTCTGTAATTTGAGCTACACGAAAAATTCTCTCCCGGTTCGGCCCCATAATTGGATTTTATTGATTTTTACTTAAGGCCTGCACGTTAACGGCTCAATTTGAATTAACTGAATTATTTTTCTATTAGTGGAATGTGCACAAAAATTCCCTTATTCAAAATCTGTTTAATAAATAACTTAGTTGATAAATGAGTAAAATTCCAAATTACTATATGATATACAAACATTCAAGTTATTGAACAATTTAATTGTATGTATTTATATACTAAATTATACAAATAATCATGAATTTTAGGATATTTAATTTTTAAATATTGTCAAAACATTATTAACGGCGATATATTTGTTAATCATTTTTTTTTTTAAGCAAAACATGTAAATTGTGCCCACGGTGTTGTACGTTTTCACCTCTGTTTATAGAGATAATACAGGTTTGGTATCAAAACATTAATTCAAAACATTAATGGGCACAGCTCATAGCTGGCGTGAAGAGTTGCCAAAAACGGAGAGTTTCGGCTTTGAATAAACAGGAGAAGCAGCCGCGTGGTTAAAAGGGTTTTTACGGCGGCTAAAAGGCAGGCAGCCAATTTTACAGGCACTAACCTTGTTTACACCGTTAAGGGTTGTTGCAACGGCGGCCTCGCAAATCACATCGCCGCTGACGCTCTTGACATTTTCCGCGAAAGAAGCGTTTTTCCGGGAAATTGCTGCTTTTTTCCCAGCACTTAAGATGGACCAATCTCACGATGAGGCTTTTAGGGTTTACAATTAAGAGGAGTCGATCAAATTGCAAAGATGCAAGGTGCATTTTTCCCACAAAGAGGTGGAAAATAATGAAATTTGCCATTTTATTGTGTGATCTAAAATCTGAATGACAAAAATAAAATCATAAACTTTTACCTAATATAATTGTCATAATTTACCGATTTTGCTTAAATTTTATAATTTTTAAATTACATTTTACTACTCAAAAAGTTTAAAATTAATTTTGAAAATATTATAAAATGGGATAAAAATATCTAAATGAAATAAAAAAATGTTCGCAATTTCAATAAAAAAAAAAATCCAAAACACATTTTATTATTCAGTCTTCTACTAATTTAACTATCAGCAAATTTTGAATTCACTATGATTCAAAGCAGTAGAATTTCAATTTGAAATAACTTCCAACCCAATGTGGTTGAATGTTAGCTAAGCAATAATCATATTCGCATTTGAAATCAAATTACTCCAATCAAAATTGTGCTCTGCATACTTCATCTGATTTTGATTAAAATGTGTTTTGCTGGACATACATGTTGGTTGAATTCCATTTGAACCGACATAAGTGCATTATTTAGCATCAGAGTACAAAATCAAAGCACTTTGGTCGGATGAAAATTAAGGCACTAATTATTGTTGCAAGCTCCTGGGGAGTTGGCGCTCCTGGGGAGCTGGAGCTCCTTGGGAGTTGGCGCTCCTGGGGAGTTGGCGCTCCTGGGGAGTTGGCGCTCCTGGGGAGTTGGCGCTCCTGGGGAGTTGGCGCTCCTGGGGAGTTGGCGCTCCTGGGGAGCTGGCGCTCCTGGGGAGTTGGCGCTCCTGGGGAGCTGGCGCTCCTGGGGAGTTGGCGCTCCTGGGGAGTTGGCGCTCCTGGGGAGTTGGCGCTCCTGGGGAGCTGGCGCTCCTGGGGAGTTGGCGCTCCTGGGGAGCTGGCGCTCCTGGGGAGCTGGCGCTCCTGGGGAGTTGGCGCTCCTTGGGAGTTGGCGCTCCTGGGGAGTTGGCGCTCCTGGGGAGTTGGCGCTCCTGGGGAGCTAACAAATAAATACTTGGAAGTTTTCATAAGCTCGCCACAAGCAAACGGATGGGCCAATTTTCATTTTCTCCGCGGATTCTGAAAGCTCAACTTCACAAGTTTTTGACCTCCTTGTTTTTAACTGGCACATTGAAAACTTTAGTATATATTTGAAAATCCAATATATTTTCTAGGAAATATATACCCCCATACCAAATTTTATCAAATTTGGGTGACCTTTGCTTTTTTTGTCAGGTTGGCAACGAGACAATCGCTAACAACACCTTAAGTGGAATGCTTACGGCTTGTTTTTTTTTATTAAATTTTACGCAACTGCTGCGAGTTAATTCAATCATTAAACAGAATTTCGCAGTAGACAAGCACATCGAAGCCATTACAAAATATAATTATTTTTAACGTCTTTGGTGGTATTGAATAAACTGAAAATGCCGAATGTCAATTTCAATAGCTTTGCTAATTTTCAGTTAAATTATTGTATAATTTCATGAGCTCTCTAATGCAGGATCAAACAAGCGTGATAACAATAATTTCTCTAGAACTCTCTGAATTTGTCTAGAAGTCTGCAAATTTATCCTTAAACAAGAAGGGTGTAATTCTTAATGATTAATCACAGGCAAATTGCGAAATCGAGTTTGCAGGTTAATGATGCGCACTTGAGCAAGTTCAAAGTGAAAAACGCAACAGCTCGGAATATTCGCCTATGACAGCAAAGACTCGCCCACCCACGCACGTTTGATGCTTATTGGGTCGATCAAATGCGTTATTAATATCGTAAATTCAGTCTCTCCGCACAAATGATTTTCCGAGCCAGTGGTGCGAACACGTGTGCAGTGCACGCGGTAATAAGCTGGCGAGGAGAGCAAAGTGCGCGTTTATCAGCCGGACCGACTGGCGAAACTGATTAATTCCGACGCCCTCTCGCACGAATTGCAAATGCGAGGGAAAAATAACACGGCCGGCGGCTCGAAACATTCGTTCTGTTAAAAATACACACGAAATTTTTTCCATTCCGGTCTTTGTGGCACCTGACCAGGGGGTAAATAAACATTTTTTGCAGTATTCATTCGAGGGCAGTTTTCCTTGTGGCGCTTCTTGTGACTCGGCTACCGTCCACGCAGAAAATTAAATAATAAAACGAAATTTAAATGGAAAAAATAGTTGTAAACAATTTTAAAAATATTAATATTTTTGAAAATTCAAATTCCGTGTACGTTTTTAAGTAAAAATAGGTTTGAAATTATTAAGGACTTAAAAGGCTACTTTTTAAATAAAACGTTTTCTGAATCTTTTCAGGTTCAAATTTTTTTCTAGGTTTTATTTAAGATTCGGCCAAGTTTTGGAATTAATTGTGTAAATTTTGAATTTATTTACCAAAACTATTTTACTTGGAGAGCAAAAATCTTTTCTTTTTTGGAGTTTTGGTAATTGACAATCAAAATATTCATATTTTTTGTTTTCTTGATGTAAAATTAATAAACACAATTGTAACTAAAATATATTAATTAATTTAGTTTTTGTGTAATAAAAATGAATATCATGTGTCTAACTTTCAAGTAATATTATGTTAATATTCATTTAATAATTTTTATTGTATTATTCTTTTTATTAAATCAAATTTTAATACAGAATTCTGAAAGTTCTGATGAAATTATTCTTAAAAATTGGACAAATCTTAACTGTGATTAATATACATCAAATGTTCATAATTGATCAATAATATTTTCCCAAAGGATTTTTATTTAAAAAAATTTAATTGTTTTCAAACTCCATCAAAGCAAAATTGGTATGAGTCGTAATTTTGCTTAACCGCTACGAAATTAATAATTGTCTATTTTTGAAACAATGGGAATGAAAGGAGTGGCCAGAACCGGGTTAACCAAGGAAATACGCTGGCCGGGCTCAAGTTGTTTTTGATGTAATAAAAGCAGCGCGCGTGTCGAGCGAGAACGCTTTTCATTTTCCCGTTTTTTATTTTTCATCTCTGCTGCTCGAGTGGAGCGTGCATTTTATTTGCAAACTCGGTTGATGTGGCCAAAGTGCGCCGTTCCGTGCGTATTCATTACAGGCCGCAAAAAGGCGAAACAAAAACAACCCTTTTCCATTTTTAAGCCGTCGTGGCGCGGCCAAGATATTCACAACGCCGCTGTTTCTGACGCATGAAAAATTGATTCCGGTGATTAAAGACCAAACTTTTGCGTTCCGCCTCCGAGACACACCATTACTCATCCCCCTCGCGCAATGATTATCCCCAGCGTTGCAAAATACTTTCACCTGCTGGTTTTCCAACCACATTATTTCGGTCCAGAGTTGGGAAAACTTATATCAAACCAGTGATTAACCCGCGCCACCGGCAGAATAAGACTCTCCATATTTTTCCTGGAGATTAATCTCTTTTTCCTGAATTTTTCTGAATAACATAATTGAACAAAACCCTTCAGGTGATATAAAAATTGAAGTATTTACTCATTTTAAATTTAATGTTTTAATAAAATTCTAATACAGAAATAAAATATAAATATAATTACATTTTTTGTATCTTTTTTATTTTCTTTTTACAAAATTTAATTCATTTATCTCAAATAATGCTAGATATTAAACTTTAAATTGCTTTTTTAATTTGTTATTAAATCCAAACAAAGGTAAGCAAATTTAGTATCATTTTTTATGAAATAAATGAAGCATAGAGTTCAATTTATTCTCTAAATTGTAAAATAATTTGTTTATTAAATTTGTTCTTAAAATGCAGATCTAGGAATAATGAAATTTCATCTAAAATTAAAATAAATAATGTTGTCGAGTAGAGGAAATTATTGACAGTGAATTAATGACCTTTTCATAACCTTTTTTTTCAAAAATATTTGAATGTTTTGAATCTTTTCTCCCCAAAATTAACGTGTTTTTTTCCTACTAGCCGAAATTACGCCATAAAAGCCAAAGCCGCTGAAAATCGTGTGTGCAAAAGTAAGCTCGCCCGCCAGAGTTCATTTTGATTGCCACGCTACATAATCATTAATCACCATAGCCGCGCGTAGCAAATTTATTTCGTCAGCCGTCGTTCGATTCAAAGAGCAATAAATTCTTCAAACGAATCGCGGCTTGTTTATTGCATAAATTACTTCCTTAACAAGCAAGGACAGGTCATTTGCAGGCGTACAAAATCTATATTATAATGAATTGCTGTGTTTTGTGGTAATGTTTGTTTTCCAATAATCCAAAAATCCACGTTGAGCTGATTAAAATTTTTTTTAATAAAAACAGGAAATATTTATTTAGATAAAATGTTGCTGATTTTTAGTGCTTTGGAGAGAGTAAAATGATTTCCAAAAAGGTAAATCAGAAGTCCCGTTTTTTCTCCTCGCCATTATTTGTGTATTGTGAATGCACATAGCACCATATTTTGGAATAAAATTGCGTATTAGAAAAACGTTGGACATATTTCTAGAGACCGAGTTTTGTTGCATTAATTACAACATGGAGAAATGCACTCTTGGAAATACATTATTCAAAATCTCTCTAGAACATTTCTGAGATGAGACGTATGACGATTTGCATAAATGAACAAGCGCTGGAATTTATACATGTGAGGTTGTTTCATTTCGTTTATTGTGCATGCGAGTCTTGGAGGCTCGGGTTGGGTTTGCTATTTATTATCTCTGCGCCTCTCATTACTCTCCGCAGCATCTGTGCGCCGAGACGCACAAAAGCCTTTTCAACGCTGCTTGCAGCTGATGAAATTTTGCCCCGATGGTGTGGTGCTGATTTTTGTTCCTGTAGTCGCCATGCTCCAGGACATCCATTTCACTCTTTTTCAAATTTTATACTCACGCGAGTTAATTCAGGAACAATTTATTTAATTCCTCTTTAACAAGAACCCGATTTGCTGGGCACAGGAAAATTTTAACTCGTTGGTCAGTTTTTAGATGAAATTTATTTTTAAGAACCATTTTTAAAGTTGATTTTAATAAACAAAATGCAAGAAATTTGTATTGAAATTTTTCTTATAAGAAACATGTGATTTATAATTTATAATAAACTAAAACTTAAGTTCATCCTTAGCGTTGAATTTAAATATATTTTAAAATTGATTTATTTTATTAATTACAACCATTTTGATAATTAATTTGTATTTTAATATTTCGGGGATTTTTTTGAGAAAAATCATAATTTTTTCACCCTTTTAAAATCCAATATTGAGCTTAATTTTTTTGAAAATAATAACTTTATAGAAAATGAACAATTTTTCTGATATTAAATCAAGAAACAAATATCCATGTATTTTTATTTTTTATTTTTGTTGCAGGTGCAATAATTTTCGGGTCGGACCAAGAAGTGGCCGGCGTGATGAGGGCCGTGCGAAGGGCGAACGCGACCGAAATCTTCTCTTGGATCGGCTCGGACGGGTGGAGCGCCCGCAACTTGGTCTCCGACGGCAACGAGATGGAGGTCGAGGGCACCCTGTCGGTGCAACCGCAGGCCAACCCGGTTCGCGGCTTCGAGGAATATTTCCTCAGCCTCACCGTCGAGAACAACAAGAGGAACCCGTGGTTCGCAGGTGCGTGGAATTTCTAATTAAATTTGCGTGCAATTCCCAGCCAGCCTCAAGAATGTGGAATTTCCACTGAATTGAATGATTCACATTAACTTTCTGCACTTAACTGAGAATTTCTGCAACGGTTATCCTAAAAAAATTTTGTCAAAAATTACATCTTTGAGTAAAAATTGTCAATTTATTTTTTTTTTTAAATTCCAAAGTTGATTATTCAAAAAAAAAAAATGCAATATTCTAATAAGTTTTTATGGTTTACGGTTAAAAATCTCATTAAAATTGCATAATATTGCAATTTCTAAATAAATTAGCAGTTTGATTTACGAATAATTACTAATTAGCCAATCTTTTCATATTTTTGCTCCAAAAATTTATATTTTTAGACAGAGTTCCTTAAAATTATGTTCAGGGTAATCAGGATTATTATTCTCATTGAAGTTTCTATAAAAATTTAAAATTTCTCCAACATCCGCAAGGAAAACTTCAGGGAAGCTTTCAGCGCTTGAATACCAGAGCAGTAGAACTTTGTCTTCCGCTAATTATGAAAGCTTTGAACATATAAAAGAACCGTTTCCTGTTGCTCAAGCCACAAAGAGGAAATATTTTGTAGGAAAAAAAATGGTTACAAAAGTTTATGAAATGCTTTTCCTCTCTTTAACGCTGGAATATTATGCAGATTTTGATGTAAAAACCGTTTTTCTTTTGCCTTATCTTTCAAACATATTCTTCTGACCGCTTTCTATTCCAAGGTTTATAAGAAGAAATTTATAATGTTCCCCTTGTGTACATTTCGTCACAATTCCCGTCACCGCTCATAAATTTCTCTTCAGCTGCACGATGACATAATTGCGGGCCCACAACGAGCCCCGCCCAGCGTTCTTTCTGAAAGCAAACAAAACGCGGCTGCTCATCTTTATACAGATAATTACAACGCCCATTAATTGACGGGGGAATTCACGGTCTGAAACGTGATCTTTTTGACGAGCTAATGAACGTAGTTTGTCGCAACTTTCGACCGCCATCAGCTTTTCATTTCCACAGAACCACCAAAGCCAAGGGGTTCGGTTTCAAAAGCTGCTTGCAAAAGAAAACTTTTGTTTATCAATTTCCAACAAGAGCTTTTCAAATGATATTGATACCCGCACTAAACCTGAAAGTCTTTTTGACAGCTGCCAAGTATTAACAATTATCTTTAAATGAAGGAGATCAAATTTCAGGTTTTGAAAAAGTATCATCTATAAGTTTCTATTTAAACTCAGTCATATTGAGCTACATTAAAGTTTTTGTCTTTCTCTATGTTTTAAATAATTTGCAGTTTCAAGAAAAATGTAGCTCATGTAATTTGACAACAAATTTGAAAAAATAATCAAAGATTGCTGTAAAGTATAAAGCATAAAAATCTGCATTTGTGCCGGGAAAAAAAGTGTTCAAGCTACTTTTTCATTTAATTCTAAAGCTATTTTTCTAGATTTCAAAGTGCTTCAAGCAACGATTTGGACGAGTTCTTAAGTTAATCAAAAATACCAGATTCCATGCTTTACAAGAGCGAAGCAAAAAAACTGAGCTCGCACCAAGCAACATTTAGTGTTGAGGCGTCTCTTTCATTTAATTTTAAAGCTATTTTTCTAGATTTCAAAGTGCTTCGTGCTTCGAGCAACGATTTGGCCGAGTTCTTAAATTTATTAAAATTACCAGATTCCGTGCTTTATAAGAGCGAAGCAAAAAAACTGAGCTCGCACCAAGCAACATTAAGTTTTGAGGCGTCTCTTTCATTTAATTTTAAAGCTATTTTTCTAGATTTCAAAGTGCTTCGTGCTTCGAGCAACGATTTGGCCGATTTCTTAAATTTATTAAAATTACCAGATTCCCTGCTTTATAGGAGCGAAGCAAAAAAACTGAGCTCGCACCAAGCAACATTAAGTTTTGAGGCGTCTCTTTGATTTAATTTTAAAGCTATTTTTCTAGATTTCAAAGTGCTTCGTGCTTCGAGCAACGATTTGGCCGATTTCTTAAATTTATTAAAATTACCAGATTCCCTGCTTTATAGGAGCGAAGCAAAAAAACTGAGCTCGCACCAAGCAACATTAAGTTTTGAGGCGTCTCTTTCATTTAATTTTAAAGCTATTTTTCTAGATTTCAAAGTGCTTCGTGCTTCGAGCAACGATTTGGCCGATTTCTTAAATTTATTAAAATTACCAGATTCCCTGCTTTATAGGAGCGAAGCAAAAAAACTGAGCTCGCACCAAGCAACATTAAGTTTTGAGGCGTCTCTTTGATTTAATTTTAAAGCTATTTTTCTAGATTTCAAAGTGCTTCGTGCTTCGAGCAACGATTTGGCCGATTTCTTAAATTTATTAAAATTACCAGATTCCCTGCTTTATAGGAGCGAAGCAAAAAAACTGTGCTCGCACCAAGCATCATTAAGTGTTGAGGCGTCTCTTTGATTTAATTTTAAAGCTATTTTTCTAGATTTCAAAGTGCTTCGTGCTTCGAGCAACGATTTGGCCAATTTCTTAAATTTATTAAAATTACCAGATTCCGTGCTTTATAAGAGCGAAGCAAAAAAACTGAGCTCGCACCAAGCAACATTAAGTGTTGAGGCCTCTCTTTCATTTAATTTTAAAGCTATTTTTCTAGATTTCAAAGTGCTTCGTGCTTCGAGCAACGATTTGGCCGAGTTCTTAAATTTATTAAAATTACCAGATTCCGTGCTTTACAAGAGCGAAGCAAAAAAACTGTGCTCGCACCAAGCAACATTAAGTTTTGAGGCGTCTCTTTCATTTAATTTTAAAGCTATTTTTCTAGATTTCAAAGTGCTTCGTGCTTCGAGCAACGATTTGGCCAATTTCTTAAATTTATTAAAATTACCAGATTCCGTGCTTTATAAGAGCGAAGCAAAAAAACTGAGCTCGCACCAAGCAACATTAAGTGTTGAGGCGTCTCTTTCATTTAATTTTAAAGCTATTTTTCTAGATTTCAAAGTGCTTCGTGCTTCGAGCAACGATTTGGCCGAGTTCTTAAGTTAATCAAAAATACCAGATTCCCTGCTTTATAGGAGCGAAGCAAAAAAACTGTGCTCGCACCAAGCAACATTAAGTTTTGAGGCGTCTCTTTCATTTAATTTTAAAGCTATTTTTCTAGATTTCAAAGTGCTTCGTGCTTCGAGCAACGATTTGGCCGATTTCTTAAATTTATTAAAATTACCAGATTCCCTGCTTTATAGGAGCGAAGCAAAAAAACTGTGCTCGCACCAAGCATCATTAAGTGTTGAGGCGTCTCTTTGATTTAATTTTAAAGCTATTTTTCTAGATTTCAAAGTGCTTCGTGCTTCGAGCAACGATTTGGCCGATTTCTTAAATTTATTAAAATTACCAGATTCCGTGCTTTACAAGAGCGAAGCAAAAAAACTGTGCTCGCACCAAGCAACATTAAGTGTTGAGGCGTCTCTATCATTTAATTTTAAAGCTATTTTTCTAGATTTAAAAGTGCTTCGTGCTTCGAGCAACGATTTGGCCGAGTTCTTAAGTTAATCAAAAATACCAGATTCCCTGCTTTATAGGAGCGAAGCAAAAAAACTGTGCTCGCACCAAGCAACATTAAGTTTTGAGGCGTCTCTTTCATTTAATTTTAAAGCTATTTTTCTAGATTTCAAAGTGCTTCGTGCTTCGAGCAACGATTTGGCCGATTTCTTAAATTTATTAAAATTACCAGATTCCCTGCTTTACAAGAGCGAAGCAAAAAAACTGTGCTCGCACCAAGCAACATAAAGTGTTGAGGCGTCTCTATCATTTAATTTTAAAGCTATTTTTCTAGATTTAAAAGTGCTTCGTGCTTCGAGCAACGATTTGGCCGAGTTCTTAAGTTAATCAAAAATACCAGATTCCCTGCTTTATAGGAGCGAAGCAAAAAAACTGTGCTCGCACCAAGCATCATTAAGTGTTGAGGCGTCTCTTTGATTTAATTTTAAAGCTATTTTTCTAGATTTCAAAGTGCTTCGTGCTTCGAGCAACGATTTGGCCGATTTCTTAAATTTATTAAAATTACCAGATTCCCTGCTTTATAGGAGCGAAGCAAAAAAACTGTGCTCGCACCAAGCAACATTAAGTGTTGAGGCGTCTCTTTGATTTAATTTTAAAGCTATTTTTCTAGATTTCAAAGTGCTTCGTGCTTCGAGCAACGATTTGGCCGATTTCTTAAATTTATTAAAATTACCAGATTCCGTGCTTTACAAGAGCGAAGCAAAAAAACTGTGCTCGCACCAAGCAACATAAAGTGTTGAGGCGTCTCTATCATTTAATTTTAAAGCTATTTTTCTAGATTTCAAAGTGCTTCGTGCTTCGAGCAACGATTTGGCCGATTTCTTAAATTTATTAAAATTACCAGATTCCCTGCTTTATAGGAGCGAAGCAAAAAAACTGAGCTCGCACCAAGCAACATTAAGTGTTGAGGCGTCTCTTTCATTTAATTTTAAAGCTATTTTTCTAGATTTCAAAGTGCTTCGTGCTTCGAGCAACGATTTGGCCGATTTCTTAAATTTATTAAAATTACCAGATTCCCTGCTTTATAGGAGCGAAGCAAAAAAACTGTGCTCGCACCAAGCAACATTAAGTGTTGAGGCGTCTCTTTCATTTAATTTTAAAGCTATTTTTCTAGATTTCAAAGTGCTTCGTGCTTCGAGCAACGATTTGGCCGATTTCTTAAATTTATTAAAATTACCAGATTCCCTGCTTTATAGGAGCGAAGCAAAAAAACTGTGCTCGCACCAAGCATCATTAAGTGTTGAGGCGTCTCTTTGATTTAATTTTAAAGCTATTTTTCTAGATTTCAAAGTGCTTCGTGCTTCGAGCAACGATTTGGCCGATTTCTTAAATTTATTAAAATTACCAGATTCCGTGCTTTACAAGAGCGAAGCAAAAAAACTGTGCTCGCACCAAGCAACATAAAGTGTTGAGGCGTCTCTATCATTTAATTTTAAAGCTATTTTTCTAGATTTTAAAAGTGCTTCG